GCGGCAGGCGGACGAGGCTGCCGCGGGGCTGCAGATCCCGGCGGCGCTGCTGGGGCACGTGACGCCGCCGCTGCAGCAGCAGCAGCAGCAGCAGCAGCAGCAGCAGCAGCAACAGCACCACCCCCTGGCGGGGCTGCAGCTTCCGCTCTTACGGTCGGCCTCGATGCACGCAGAACCATCCAGGACGGCCACATGCGGCTGCGATGCAGCGGCGCCCGCGCTTGGCGGCGCCGTTGACGATGCCGACCCACGCCCGTACGGCGGTGGCGGATGGCAGGTCGCGGCGCCGCCGGCCGCAAAGCGCGCGCGGACCGAGAGCGGCAGCAGCAGCCTAGGCGCGGTGCCACCCGCCGGGGTGGAGGCCGGTCCCTTGGAGAGCCTAGACCCTGCGGCAATTGCGACGCTCGTACAGCTGCTGCTGGCACATCCGCAGACGCAGCAGCAGCAGCAGCAGCAGCAGCAGCAAGTTCAGCAGCAACTTCAGCAGCAACTTCAGCAGCAACTTCAGCAGCAACTTCAGCAGCAACTTCAGCAGCAACTTCAGCAGCAGCAGCAGGCGCAGCTGCTGCTGCAGCTGCTGCAGCAGCAGCAGCAGCGTCTGCAGCAGCGGCATCAGCAGCAGCAGCAGCAGCAGCAGCAGCAGCGTCTGCTGCTGCTGCGCCAGCTGCAGCAGCAAGCGCCACCCCACGCCGGCGGCTTTGCGCCGCTGTTTGCATTGTGCGCATGGCGGCCCGTGCGCCTTGCGGCACAGCCCGCTGCATCCCCACCCGCGCCCGGGGCGGCGGCGCCGACGACGGATGAGACACAGCGGCACGTGATAAGCGTGTGGGGCCATGCCGTCAGCTCCCTGCGGACACCCGGCCCCCCCACGCAGCCGCCGCCGCAGGTGCTGCCGCAGCTTCGCCTCGCCGCCGCTGCGGCCGTGCGGCTGCCGGGCGGGCCGCTCCTCCCCGAGCCGCGCCTGCCTTGCGGCGAGCTCGGCGGCGCCGGCGCCTGCGGGCCCCACAGCTATGAGTCGGGGCTGACGGTGCGCACCCACCTCCAGGGCGCCCACAACAGCGACGCCTGCGGCGGCACCAGTGGCAGCGGCGGCAGCAACGCCAGCGGCGCCAGCGGCGCCAGCCTTCCGCTGGTGCTGCAAACGCCGCCCGGGCCGCTGCAAGCCGCGGCGCTCCCGCTGCAGCCGCAGCTGCCGCAGCAGCAGCAGCAGCCGGCGCCTCTCGTCCTCGATCTGCGGGGGCCCTCCCACCGCAGCGGCGCCTTCTCGCGCGACTTTTCCGCGGCCGCCGCCCCCGCGTGCCCCCCGCCGGCGGCAGCGCCGGCACCGCCGCAGCCGCAGCCGCAGCCGCGCGCGGCATTCGCGCCCGAGGCCGCGGCGCAGAGCGGCGGCGGCGACACGGCGATGATTGTTTCGGCCCTTCTGGCGAGCCTCGTCAGCGCCGCCGGCGCTGGCGCTGGCGGCGCCCCCACCACGGGCGTGTGAGCGCTGAGGGCGGGCGCAGCCTCGCCGCCGCGGCGCGGCATGGCATGGCCCTGAAGGGTCGTGCGCGTTTGGGACCGCCTCCGCCCGGGGCGCGCCGCGCGAGCCTGCCAGGCTCGGCACAGTGTGGCCCCGCGCAGGCCCGCGCCACGCTGTCTGTTTGACACGCCACATGGTGTTATGTCACTGCAACCAGGAGGCTTGTCGCATGTTCTCCTTGTCCCTGCCCGCACCTCGCTGCTGCACCTGATCCCCTTTTCTGCCGTTGCGACCGTCAGCCGTGCGCGGCCTGCTGGTGGCTGCGGCTCCCAACCCGCACGCACGCTTTCGACCCCTCAATCTCTTGTTCTCATTCCCCGCCCGCGCCAAAGGCTGTTAGAGTGTGCACATTCCTGCCGCACGCTTGGCCCCTGGGGGGGGCGCTCCACATCACAGGCATACACCTGGAACACTGAGCTGCGCGGCTGCTTCGACTTCTTAAAAGCTTCCCGTGCTTTCACAGGTGTGTACTCGAGCGGGCAATCCTCGAAGGGTCTATAAGTGCCCCCCAGTTGCTTTGCATCGGATCCGCGGTTAGCCAGCTTTCAGCAGCACCCAGCTGTTGGCGCGGCCTAGAGTTCATTCACGACGAGCGCTGCGCACGTGTGCAACAAAATATCATTCTAATGAAGCAAGAATGGGGGCCCTATTGCTATGGGCCTGAATCACCGTGGAATTCACCCGTGGGGTGGAATCACATGGGTGGCTAATCGAGTTTGAGGCCCCGCTTTCATGGGCTTGAATCACCAATCACTGGCTTGATTAGCATGCTTCGAAATAAAAAGTCATTGAATCACCCGTTTGCACACCCCTAATCACCGCGAGTTACCTAAATCATTGAGTCATTTTACTCGTCCCCCAAAAATGCAGGCAAGTCAATGGGAAATCACCTCACACTTCGCAAATGATACAGATTTTGTACGCACTGCTGCCTGCCACAATTGCCGTGTGTGGTGTCTACAGTGGTGACCACCCTGAGCGCCCCACGGTAATCGACCCTCGTCACCGACTGCGGCGCGCCGGCGCCCCGCATCAATCAGGCAGGCGCGTGGGCGCAGAGGGCGGACAGCAGCCAGGCTCAAACATGCTGCGCCGCGCTTCGCACCCTTGGTGACCCGCCTGCACATGCCCGCATGCACGCCTGTGTGTGCAGCACAGACCTGCAAACACGTGGGGCCTTTGTGCATACCTGCTTTGAACGGCAAATGCTGGCCACTTGAGTCCCTGTCACACAACGCCGATGCTACAATGCTACATCCCATGAGCCTGGATGGCTCCAGGAGTGGGCGACCGCGGGATCTTGTAACAGTCCTTATCCGTCACTGCATGTCCGTCCGTCCGTCACGCCCATGATGCTTCGGTGCTGTATCTGCACAATTGCTTGAAAATGCATGACAACGCCCATATGCTGATGCTATAATGCTACATCCCATGAGCCTGGATGGCTCCAGGAGCGGGCGACCGCGGGATCGTGTAACAATCCTAATCCTAATCCATATGCGCTCGTCCACCCAGTCAACACTTGGGGCGCCAGGGCCCAGCAGAATCGGAAGTGCACTCTGCAACTGCTGCCCAAGCTACATCATGACTCAGAAGAGGAGGCCAGGTCAGCAGGGCAGCGGATGAGGACCACACCGTGTTTGACCAAGGCGCACCGAAGCAAGGACGAGCGGCGCATGGATGCAGGGCTCCGCACCGGGTTGTAAAATTTGGATAGGTTGGGGGG